GACAGAGGCACCTTTTCTGAGGCCAGTTAAAAATGCATTTAATTACTATATAAACATGCTGTCCTGTAGCCTCTGTGACAGACATGATATTCTGTCTTAATTTAATCACCGCACTCATACAAAAGCCCAATAAAGTGCATTGTTTTGGTCGTATATATCACATCATTTTGCTTTTATTTTCTGCTTTTTTCGGTAAATGAAATATGCATGATGACATCACCACCAAGGGGCTGATTACTTTGCTTCCTGTTCATTAGCTTAATTATTTGACTATCAGTAAACCTGCATGAGTAATTCATATTTGAGAGGCCGGGCTGTAAATAAGCTCTTTCAGCTGCTTTATTATGGCCAGCAGATTCTGTGGTTCTCCAGCATGTTAATCAGCCGTGTTGGTTGTGTTTGAAGATGAAGGCAGCTGCTCACTTTAGTCAGTGACTTAACCGACTGCAGTTGAAGGAACGTTGAAAGAGCTATATTTTAACTTTAAAATAACATTTGCCTTCCCAGTGATGGGTTGCAGCTGAAAGGGCATCCACCCTGAAAACATTCGTTTAGTTGGCGGTTCATTCCGCTGTGGTGACCCGAGATTAATTAAGGGACTAAGCCAAAAAGAAAATGAATGAATGAATGAAAAACATTTGCCAAACATTAAAACTAAAGACTATAAATTTAAATATTCTTGGAATATACAGTCAGTATTCCCAGAAATGGGTTGCGGCTGGAAGGGCATCCGCTGCGTAAAAACATGCTGGATAAGTTGGCGGTTCATTCCGCAGTGGCGATCCCGGATTAATAAAGGGACTTAGCCGACAAGAAAATGAATGAATGAATGATATACAGTCAGCACTCCTTGAACATTTGTATTGTTCATAAAATTTAGGTAGAAAGAACATTTGTAGGAACATTATGCAAACCTTAAAATAACATTCCATTAATGTTAAGAAATAAAAATAGAAACTCACGATATCTGAAACCAGAATGTAATATTTAATTTTATTAGAATTCTAATTTAATTTATTTAATTTTATAGAGATAAAAACATTTAAATATTATGCTTTTTTCAGCCACTACATAGTTTAAATTATTCAAGTATTATTCAATTAAAAATAAACGATTATATATATACACTCACCGGCCACTTTATTAGGTACACGTGTTTAACTACTTGTTAACACAAATTTCTAATCAGCCACTCTCATGGCAGCAACTTGTTGGTGTCAGACTGGCTAATGTAAGTATTTTAGAAACTGCTGATCTACTGTGATTTCACGCACAACCATTTCCAGAGAATGGTCTGAAAAAGAGAAGATATCCAGTGAGCAGCAGTTCTGTGGGCACAAATGCCTTGTTGATGCCAGGGGACAATGGCCAGACTGGTTCGAGCAGATAGAAAGGCAACAGTAACTCAAGTAAGCACTCGTTATAACCGAGATTTGCAGAAGAGCATCTCTGAACACACAACACGTCCAACCTTGAGGCAGATGGGCTACAGCAGCAGAAGACCACACCGGGTGCCACTCCTGTCAGCTCAGAACAGAAACTGAGGCTACAATTCACACAGGCTCACCAAAATTGGACAATAAAAGATTTAAAAAACGTTGCCTGGTCTGATGAGTCTCCATTTCTGATGCGACATTCGGATGGTAAAGGGAGGGGTCAGAATTTGGCACCAACAACATGAAAACATGCATTCATCCTGCCTTGTATCAAAGGTTCAGGCGGGTGATGTTGTAATGGTGTGGAGATATTTTCTTGGCACACCTTGGTCCTATTAGTACCAATTGAGCATCATGTCTACGCCTCATCCTACCTGAGTATTGTTGCTGACCATGTCCATCCCTTTATGACCACAGTGTACCCATCTTCTGATGGCTACTTTCAGCAGGATAACGCGCCATGTAATAATGCCTGAATCATCTAGGACTGGTTACTTGAACATGAAAATGAGTTCACTGTTCTCAAATGGCCTCCACAGTCACCAGATCTCAATGCAACAGAGCACCTTTGTGATTTGGTGGAATGGGAGATTCCCATCATGGATGTGCAGCCGACAAATCTGCAGCAACTGCGTGATGCTATCATGTCAACATGGACCAAAATCTCTGAGGAATATTTCCAGTAGCTTGTTGAATCCATGCCACAAAGTATTAAGGCAGATCTGAAGGCAAAAGGGGTATATTGATATACCCCTTTTGTTATATTGATATATATATATTGATATATATCAATTGTACTGGCAGTTTATTACAAGGTTTGTGTACTGTAGTATACAACATCAGCCCAGACAAAATATCACTTTAAACTTTTAAAGTCACTTTTAAAAAAAAAAAATAAAGGAAATGATAAAGCATGAATCACAAATTACGGAAAACAAGTTACAGACATTTTTTTTTACAATGAATTGGGTGTTACTTAACTCAATAAGGGAGCTTTGCTCAGATTTTGCAAGTTTTCTTTTCATTTATTTGAAGCCATTTACAGCAACCCAGACAAATATAGCATCATTATACAGTGCGTCGACAACTCTTCAGTGGAAATAAATTACAGACTTGCTTAAATAACATTAAAGTGAACAAACACTGAGCCACATATGAATGTAACCATGACACATTGAAATATACATGTCTTTTCTCCAGCACACAGGCAAATGATGCATGTTAGATTAGAGATGTATATTAGATCATTTTAATGAAAAAGCACCTAAACAAACTAAAAATGCGTTAATTGAAGTTGAATATTATTTGTAACGACTTTTCAAAACCACAATCCTATTCTGTGCACCAATAAATCATGCACGGTGTAAACAAACCAGGAATGTTTTAAGTAAAACTGGGTAATTTAGATTAATGTTTTATTTTTCCTCCTTCATTTTTGGGGGAATTGGCAATTATGTAGCCAAAACTGTTTTACTGCAAAAATTGCATATATTTGAGCATGATGGAGCATCGAATGCTATTTACAATGATAAAGCAATAAATTAACATTTATGTCTTACTGAAACAAGACGTACAGCAGCTCTCATACATTCAATAAACCGTAATCTAAAGCTCTTGTTGCCTACATAGGCAGCTGCCTTCAATCATGAACATGAAAACTTAAGTGACTGATTTGGTATGCAGTTATGATAGTGTTTGACATGTTAAATACTATTATTATCATTTTTTTTGGCACTGAACAAATAATATATACATTAACCGTTTAAAGGTTTGTAGTTGGGGTTTTTAGTGTTTTTTGACAGAAGGAAATTAGGAAAGAGAAAGGAAATACATAATGTGAAGTATCATAACACACAGTGTTGGGGTAACGCATTACAAGTAACGCGAGTTATGTAATACTGTTACTTTTTGTAAGTAACGATTAAAAAGTAAGTAATACTATTTGAGTTACTTTTTTGAAAATGTAATGCAAGTTACTTTGTAGTTTAATTAATGAGCTTTTGAAAAACTAATTGCTGAATTAAAATGAAAGTAATCACAATGATTCACGCAGTCAGTGAGAGATTGTGTTTTATTATTTTGAACGCTTTGAAGAAAAGGAAAAGGGGATTATAGTCTCAATGGACAGTGATTTTTACAAATAGTACAAAAGTAGCAAACGCATTGCTTTAAGCATTCATTAATCTGTACGTACGCCATGTAGAGCTCTGGGGTCAGGAAGTTCTCAGATAACATTATCCTAAAACATAACGTGTTTTTAAAGCTAAATGAAGGTGAAACAGTACATTATTAATTGCAGATCACAGATTAATGAAAGTTTAAAGCAATGCGTTTGCAACTTTTGTACTTCTTGTCTAATTAAAAAGTATAATCAGTGTCTATTCAGACAACCATCTTTTGTTTTTCTTCAATGTGTTCAAAATAATGAAAATATTTCTTTCACAGAAATGTAAGGTTCTGCCGTCTTCCTTGCTGCCAGTTCCTGCATTCTCTTATTTCAATGATACGATCATTTTAATTCAGCATTTTATTTTTTAAAAGCGAATTAATGAAACTAAAATGTAACATTTTTAAAAAGTAGCTTAAATATAATTACTTAATTTTTTAAAAGTAATGCATTACTTTACTCGTTACTTAGAAAAGTAATATTATCTTTAATAATTTCATATTAATATTAAGACTTTATCATGAAAGTCTTCACTAATTTTACTTAATTTTTTGATACATTGTTGCTAAAAGAAAAATAAATAAATACATTTCTTAAAAAAGTCTTAATAAAAAAATCCTAAATGAAAAGTCTAACCGACCTCAAATTTTTGAACAATAGTTTTTACAGTAATACATTATTATTGTTAGCCCTATTATAACTATTATCCCCCCTGTAAAATTTGTATTCTTTTTTTAAATATTTCCCAAATGCTTTTTAATGGAGTTTTTTGAAACACAATAAACATAACACGTTTTTAAACATAATAGTTTTATCAACTAATTTCTAATAGCTAAGTTATATTATTTTTTTCTTCATTGATGACTATGTAATGTTGAACCACTTATTTTGCAGGACACTAGTTGTCAGCTTAAAGTGCAATGTAAAGACTTAACTTGATTAATTAGGCAAGTTAGGGTAATTAGGCAAGTTATTGCATAACAGTGGTTTGTTCTCTAGACAATATTAAAAAATTGCTTAAGGGGGCTAATAATATTTACCTTAAATGGCTTTAAAAATTTAAAAACTGCTTTTATTCTAGCCGAAATAAAACAAATAAGACTTTCTCCAGAAGAAAAAAACATTATAGGAAATTTCTGTGGAAAATTCCTTGCTCTGTTAAACATTATTTGGGAAATATTTTTAAAAAATCACAGGAGGGCGAATAATTTTGACTTCAGCTGTATGTATATGTATGTGGTATATACATATACGTACTATAAAAAAAAAAATCTCCTTAAGATGTTTAAAAGATGTCTTCAGATTTTGGAACACAGCTTATTAAATATATGTTATTTGTTATATTAAACATTTGAGTTCCTCTGTCTCCTTTAACATCAGTGGCAATCCTCTACTCTCCAATGTCCAGTGCCATCACTGATAAGTGTCTAAAAGGCTGGCTGATATTTACCCCTAATGCTACCATAGAGTCAAAGTTCCATAGTAATTTAAACAAGTCTTCATAACCCTGCCCGGATCTTCCTCTCTCCTCCATGCAGCTCCTCTATGTCGTCCTCCGAGAAGGGGCTGTCGGGATGATATAACGCAGCGGTGTGGTGCAGAAAGTCTGTGGATCGGGACACGCTGAGGCTGTTGTTGATGAACTTGTGTTGTCCGTCCTCTTCGTCCTCTTCGTCTTCATCTATCTCCTCTTCCTCCTCCTCCTCTTCCTCCTGTTCCTCCACACTGGGAGCTGCTGGAGCGCGTCTGCTGTCCCGTCCGCTGGGTTTGGTTCCTCCACGCTGCCGCTCCACCTCCACCTGCGCCGCCTGCTCTTTAGCTTTACGACTGCGCTTCCACTTCATCCGCCGGTTCTGGAACCAGATCTTCACCTGGTGTGGGAGAAACACACACACATGCATGGACACAAGGTGATCAGCAATAATAGATGCATTCTGCTTCACTGAAAAAAATGATTCATTGGGTTTACTTAATTTTTTTAAGCTAGAGTAAGTGGTTGCAAACAATTTACATGGGCTGAATTTATTCTTTTTTTTATTCTACTCATTAAAATAAACAAATGAAACAAACAAATAAAACATTGATAAGGTATTTTCCAAATAATGTCCTCTAAAAATTACTGTCTTTATTCTGCTTCGCTGTAGCTATATACGATCAAAGAAAACAATGTTTTTCATGTTAATTTAACCTCATAAAAAGTTCAGCAAGTTTCAGTTATTTTTAAGTCAAAACGAATATAATTTGATTCATTTGTTGATTTTGTTCATTTGATTTTACTTGATTCATTGATTCAAAAAATGATTCACTGGATTTACAATTTTTTTAAAGGTTAGTGATTGCAAGCAAATTATATTGGCTGAATTTAAACAAACAAGTTAACTTTAGTAATGCTCAACTTTATTACTTTGTTTAAATTCAGCCCAAATAAATTGTTTACAATCACTAACCTTTAAAATGTAAATCAATTGAATCATTTTTTAATCAAAAGAACACAATCAACAAATGAATTAAATTATGGTTATTTTGAATAACTTATTTTAATAAGCTAAATTAACATGAAAAAAAACATCTTCATGGATTGTATTTACATTGTAGAGGAATGAAGACATATGGAAAATACTATATTATCACAATTTTATAGAAACTATACTGTTTTAATATGAGTATTGGCATTGATGGAACCTTTTCATAGCACAAAAGATAATATTTTTGGGGGAACCAGAAAAGGTTTTCGTATGGTTTTTTTTATGTATTTATTTTTTTAGTTTTGTTATAAAAATTCAGAATTTGTGTTAATTTTATACATTTTTTTATATTTTTATTTTAAAGTTTCTATAATTATGAAGTGTTTTAAGGTTGGTATTATTACTATTATTTATTATTTATCCCTCTTTTTTATTTTATTTTTTTCAGTTTTAGTTCATTACATCCTGTTAAACAATTTTTAAGTCTTCTAAAATTAACTTTTAAATTTAAATAGTTTAAATTAACTATAATAATGAGTAATGTAATAAGAGCATATATATGTATATATATATATATATATATATATACACATATATATATATACTGAAGTCAGAATTATTAAACCCTCTTTTAGTTTTTTTTCTTTTTTCTTTTTTTTTATACATTTCCCAAATGATGTTTAACAGATTAAGGAAATTTTCACAGTATGGTTGATGATACTTTTTCTTCTGGAGAAAGTCTCATTTGTTTTATTTCGACTAGAATAAAAGCATTTTTTTAATTTTTAAATGCCATTTTAAGGTCAAAATTATTAACTCCTTTAAGCAATTTTTGTTTTCCCGATCTTATCTCCGTAAACAGAAATTGGGGAAAAAATAAACAGGGGGGCTAATTATTCTGACTTCAACTGTACTGTTTCCTATGCATTTTTATTCTGCATGGTTGCATTTAATTGATTTAAGTTTACAGCAGTTGAATGTGACAGTACAGTACTGCTCATGGCCCCTTTAATGCTTTTAACTATACAAATGTTCTTTACTGACTAAAGAACATCTACTTGTTGATAAATGTTGAGATTTTTTTTGTTGTTGTTGTTGTTTAATTGTTTAATTTGTTTTTACACAAAATGCAGAGTTGCACAAATGTTTTCAACATTATTAATGATATGATGACAGTTTCAGTTGATGATGTGTGGGTTTGGGCATTATAGAATAACTTCTGTAAGACGTTTGATAAAGCAAAATAGCTTTTCATCACTAGAAAAGAACGCAATAAAAAGTAATGATTTAAAAATACATAAATGCACAGGACATTTAAAACAGTAAAAATGGTATACCGACCCAAGATTTTTGAGCAGTATTTTTTATAATTTTGGGCAGCAGAATTTTTTTATTGTTGAGATTTTTAAAATAAATTTTATACATTTTTATTATTGTAATCATTTCAATTTTCAAGTTTAGAAATATTTTTTTAGCAACTGTCTGAAACAGCAGTAGTTTTCCCATTAATATGCATTTTCTTTGTTTATTTTTACTTTATGGTATTAGTTATATTTAACTATAAATAGCACTGAGACCATGGTGGATCTCAGCATTACCTGTGTCTCAGTCAGCATTAGAGATGTGGCCACTTCGAAGCGTTTGGGTCTGGAAAGGTATTTATTAAGTTTAAACTGGTTTTCCAGCTCCAGTAGTTGTTGACTAGTAAATGCTGTCCGAGGCCTTCGACATTTACCCATCAAACCAGACTGAGGGGCAGCTGAAAGACAAACACACGCACAAAAATCAAAGATAGTCACTAACAACAACAACTACATTAAATCAACTCTTGTCATGTGGATTATTCTGCTGCAGTTGAACGTAACTTTACGTTGATCTAATATAAACCTCAAACAAAGGGCATAAAGGTTTAGCAGCATTTTTACTTTTAATTACCAGCACTAATATCATTTGGTGAAACTGTAAATCTGTTCCCAATTAATAACAGGCCTCTTGAGCCTGCAGATATAAAAATTAAGCACCAGGCAAAAGGATGCAAGCTGCTGTAATCCACGTTTAGACTATTTTTATGAGATTTTTGTCTCTTTTATATAATGTCAAGGACTCGCGGGGTCGCGCGCACACACACTACAAAAGAAAGCCCAGAATTCGCAGCTATATCATTTACTATAATAGCTTTACTGCAGCTTATTGTTAAACACAGTGAAGCAGGGCTGGGCGGCCATAAAACGCAAGAGCAAGCCATTAACTTAATGAAAATTCAATGAACGCTTTTGGGATTTTATTGATGAACTACAGTATGTTTAAGGTGTTTGTTTATAGTTTCTCTCTCACACAAAGACAATTTTCATCGAGCTGACATTTATGGCTTTATAAAAAAAGCCCAAAATAAAATTATATTATTACGGTTTGGTGTAAATCCTGGTAGCCATTGTTAAGTCAGACTGTCTTTACTGTTAAGTTGACGTTTCTTTTAACTATCCAAGGATAACATTAACTTTCAATCATGTCTATGTGGAGTGTGTTGTATATGTTAGATATGATCAGATATATTTGGTTTGTTCACTTGTTAATGATTGATTTCCTGTTAATTGCAAATAAATACATAGGGAAAAAAGCTAAGGCAAAGTCATAATTTCCTGATACTGTTTTATCGTTTGCCATATAAAGTTCTGCAAACTAATTTCGCCACATGCTGCGCCATGATTTCAGTTTAATAATCCATCAAACAGGAGTTGTAAACATCATAATTGCTTGGTGACAAATTAACTCGGGGCTTTTCAAGAGTCACAGGTGTGTGTGAGCACACCTCTCCCTCTGTTTGCTTTCCCTCACCTTTGATTATGTTGAAAAGGATTTCATGCGCTTTTACGATATTTGCTTTCAAACTGACTATGGCGGTAATGCAACAAAATTTGGCGTGTGACAGTAATGACGCTTTAATGATGGAGGAGCACAGGCCAAGCAGTGCATGATTTAAGCAAAACTTTCGATACAACTCTGGATACTTTAAACCGGACTATTAAATGAAAACTACGATTAGAATCAATTAGGAAAAAAGCTGGGTTTCATATAATTCCTTCATGTTATCCCAGCCCGAATCGATTGCGCTAACTTAATTGTTTTTACAAATTGAAGTGGATCGAACCTAAAACAATTAAGTTATTCCAAAAACTTAAGAATTGTGTTGTTTCAACTCATTTTAAATAAGTAGTTTGAACAAGCAGAAAACATTTTTTGAGGGCAAGCAATGTAAAAATTATATGATCAGTTAGTCCTGACAGCATATGTTTTCAGGTCATTGTAACTTATTAAACTAAATCAATCACGCTATAACTTAATTTTATTTTAAGTCAGTTTAACATGAATTTGTAAGGTTAATTAGATTCAGCTTTAAAAAAATTAGCCAACCAGGTTTTTTGTGTGTGTGAGTATTATTCTAAAGGCAAAACGGCATTCGTTAATAAGGTGCTAATATGATGCACCCGATAATTATAATTATTGATTTTTTTAACTGGTAAAAATGCAAATTACATTTGCATTCAAACGCAAATCATTTATTATTCCATAATACATCCTGTTTATGTATCAGTGTAGACTTTAACTTGTTAAATGATGGTCATTATGTTAAATGCATATGGGGAAATTAATTTGGCGCTTTACTACAATTTCTTGTATAATAGTAAACATCATTCATAATAAAGCAATTCAGTGAGTATATAACACACTGAAAAAATGATGTCTAAAAATAGTTGCTAACAAATATGTGTCGAGTTTAAACAAATTAAATCCAGTAATGTTCAGCTTAATTTGTTTAACCCAAATAAATTGTTTACAACCACCTAACCTTTACTAAAAAATTAGCAACTGCAAGGATTCTCTGAATCATTTTTTCAGTAGATGTATAGGCCTAAATAATGCATTCAGGTAGAAATCAACAATCAAATTATTTAAATTCACTTAGGAAAATATGTGCATAAAAAATCGAAACTGCTTTTACATTTTACTACTAATTATAAAGAAACGGCAAGTAATTTTCTGTTAAACAATAATCAAACGTAATCGTTTTTTATTTATAGCATTAACTGCTGATCTGATAAGGACTGTGTGATGTTTATTAGTAACTTAAAGTGTTACCCACTCATCTGAATGCTACCCCACTCACAGGTGTAATCGGGCAGTCGTGGTACCATGATGCCAGCTCGTATCCAATGCTCCAGCGGTAATGATCCGGCCATCGCCGCCGCCTTCAGCTGCTCCGGGTACGGCTGCGTCAGCTGGGTGAACCCAGTGTACGCTAGTGCAGGGTGCTGACCTCCCAATGCTGAAATGGGGTACATGGGCGTCGTGTACATGCCTGGGATAGAAGTGAGTCCCGGGTGAGGGAGATTGAGCAGCCCTGGTTTCGGTATGATTCCGGGTTGGAGGTGTATGGCACCTGGGGTCCCGCGGGGGGACGGGGTGTCACCGCGCCTGCAGGACACCGGACTCCCAGTCGGGCTGTCGCTGCTCAGTCCAGGGGAAACTTCTCGGCTCCCTCGATGTGGTTCTTCAGCTAAAAGGGCGTCGATCCTGAAGTTCTTTGACTTTTCCATTGCAACACTTTTGTTGTGTTTAGAGTTGCAGGTAATTGCGCTGATAGCTGCGTTTTACGCGCAGATGCATTCGTTTTAATCTCGATTAATGATATTTTTCTGTTATATCTAACTATTGATATGTAGAGTTTAATCTAACTAGAACTTTCCCATTGGAACTCAGCCCATGAGACAGCCGAAGTACGCACAGAAAAAGATTTAAGCGCTTTATGGTAGAGCTCTAGTTGTTGTTGTTTAGAGGAGTATCTCTGTCATCTGATCCGCTCTCTGAACCTCCGCGCGCGTTCACATCTCGCTCATAACGCCTGTGCGAGCGCTGATTGGCTGCAGAGCTTGTCCTGGGGGAGCAGATCACTTGACAGTTTTCTAATTAACTAATCATACTGTAGTATAGACACTTGGAGCGCGTCCTTGGACTCAGACTTGTTCCTGAAGCAACATCAGAGCGCGAGACGCGTGCGGAGTTTTCAAAGTGCCTGACACCAAGCGTTTCTCATCTATAGTTAATTAATTGCAGAAATTGCAAGTTTAAAGGTATCCATAAATCATCAAAAATCATCAAAATAATCAAGCTACATAATAATGGCAATGATCTTAATTTATTGTAGTTGTTTTTTGCTATTATTTTTGACTAGTGAGACCTTTAATTATGTCCATAATAATAATAGTAATAGGCTAATTATGAAAAATAATAAGAATAATATCCGTAGTGGTAGCAGCATCAACAACAATAATAGGTTATTATTATTATATTGTGTGACACATAATAATGTAAACATTACAAACGGGTGAGCTCACTGAGCAGTTGCTCTAGACATTTTAATAATGTGATCTAATATTTTAACGACCTGCTAATTTAAGGAATCGCGACTGTAATATCAAGATAATTTATTTTTATGAGTTCACATTACACAGTTCATAAAATCTTGCGATAGCTTATATTTATGATTTATTTGCAGGATCTGTAAAATATTCACTATTTATTTTATTACACAAATAGTTTCCTAAAAATAAAACATGGTCTAAAATAACTAGTTTCGTTTCATGTAATTGCTTGTTTTTTGTTCACTAAACAGACCAAACTATACTGATTTAAATACACATAAAAAAGTTTAAGAGCAAGCCAAGTAGAAATATCTTTGACCCCTTAAAATAGCATAAAATCTGAATGCATCTCTGTTTTCAATTATTATTATTATAACATATAATTAATGATATAATAATACTGATTAAAGTAGTTTTTGCTTCATTAATTGATCAAATCACCTGCCGACATTTATGAGCGACTCTAATTATTAATAGTTACTTTTTAGGATTTTATTTATTTTTATTTTTTAGACAGAATCGTCCATTCGAGAAAACATCGTGAAATAAATAATCATCGTATGTTTAGAGAAAAAATAAAACGAGACTCTTGTAAGTACACTCCGTATAGCCTGCGTTATGGGTAATAATACAAATAATAAAAAGGGTTTTTGACCTATGTAAAATAAATAAATAAAATAGAGGCAATTCATTCCAAACCTTAATATCACACACGGACAACCTGTCGTAAACACGCAATAAATCGAGACGAAATGTATTGAAATTCGCAATTGGGATTTTAAACATTGCCTCCACATGGACTGTGGATTAATAACATGGAAAACGGGTGACAGGAGGCCGAAAAGCTGATATTCTCGCCTTGACCTGAGAAGATTGCAGCGGCCCGCCCTTTTATCCCGCAAATGGGCTGCGGTACAGATGCGGGGTCTGTCTCAAAACACGACGTGCTCCCTAAACAGACAACACGTTTTAGGGCGCATTAGATAATTACGAACCAAAATTCACTGTATTTTATTAAACCTTAAACGGCTCTCTGATTTCTCTTTGATTTTCTCGTTTAAATTGTATGTTTTGTTGTAATGTAGCTATGCTGAAAAACATGGTTGCCTTACATTTTTAAGCTGAGTCAAATTATCTTTATGAGTCCATTGAACTTATAGTATGTTAAACTGTCTTAAAACAGCTTGTGTAGCTAACTTATACAATTAAGTTAGAACATTATTAGCTTAGTTTAATAAGTTGCAATGAGCTAAAACATGCTGTCAGAACTAATTGATCATATATATGTTTTACAGTGCACATGCAACAAAATAGGCTACAAAATAGTAGCCTATTATACAATCAGTCAAGTAATAGATTTTAAATGTGATGTTTTTAAAGTATACAGTATAGATTTTTGGGGGGCTAACATAGGCCTACTTATTTATTTCACGAGATATCTGCGATCTCTAAAAGAAAATTTACGAAATAATAATACTATTATGAAGCCGTCCAGTTAGGTAACTATATGCGTATTGAGACGGATCCACTGAGCTAATTTGCTCATGAAGTCAAGTGCTCTCTGCATATTCCCAGCAACCTGTCCCTCCCCTCGGCGGCTGCTGCTGCTTTTATGATTTAAAAGTAATTTAAACAGCCCGGCCACTGGTAAATCCGTCATTGGCACCCTGTGACAGAGGTGCGCAAATTAAATTGAATCAATGCGCGCGGTCGCACCGCCGGCCTCGTGTCACGGAGCGCGCGCGCGCACACGAACACCAGTGATTCAATGCATTGACAGGCAATGCTAAAATAAGACGGCTGAAACACTCTCTGTAACATGAATTATAGTTGTGTCATAGTTTTCTGATTTATTTTTAATTCCGCGTTTTAGTTGAGATGTTTTGCTTAGATGGATTTAATTAAAGCCTTGCAGCGTTGCAATAGAAAATTCTACTTTTTTTCTGAATCAAAAAGGGTTTTCATGCATCCAAAAAGCAAGTGTAATACTACTTTTATTTCCTTATTAGTCAGATGTTGCATGATTCATCAGCAAAAATTGATGGATGTACTTTAAAACAGTTCTTAAATATCTGATAATTAATAATTAACAGAAATAATTTTAAAGAAACAAGGAACACATTGATCGAATGTGAACTTTTAATTAGCCTGAAAGTATTTGTTTTACCAAACATACTCCAGCAATTCTTTATATGGTGTTTTATTAACTTAACTACATGTTTTGTTTCAACCTTTTTTCTCAGATGTGTCTTCTAAAGTTCCTTAACTTATTACATATACAGTTTATATACACAATTATTTAATCAAAGTCTTAAAGGAAATGTTTTAAATTTAAACAATGTTTTTATTTGACAGCTAGTTTTTTTATTAGTAAGATCATATTGAGATATAGTTTTACTCATAGTGGAGTGCATTACTTGTTCACTTTTCTCTGTAGTAAACATAACAAGCTAAGAAAATCAAGCAAAAAGTTAAAGATCCAAGACTAAACATTGGTCAAAAGATGCATTGCAGATTACACATTCAAATAAAAAATTATGCAGAAATATAAAAGTAGTTAATCAATTATTAGTTGATACAATATATTTTTAGTTTATTGCAAAATATGTACACATGATATTTTGAAGGGGTAGACAGACTTGTTTACTCATTCATAGTGTTTGGATGAAGCTAAAAATAAATGATGTTTTTATTACCGGCAACATTTCCATTATTAAACATGATTGTTTTAAAAAGACATTGAACTAACAGTGGGTTACACATAATCATAGGCAATCCCAGAGCTCAAACAGGTCTGTCTTTAAAGATTCATCAGTTATGGTGATATTCATATATGAAATTTTTTGTGCACTCTAAAACGATAAAGAAAAATAAGACATTTTCTAAAACATAATATAATTTGAATATATGATGTAGTGTTCACATGGATCTATGCATGAACATATAAAGTGCTCATATCACGGCTCACTCTTGATGTGCTTTTGAAAGTCAAAGTTTATCATTTAATTCTAGGCCTGTAAACTTTAGTACCTGTCGCGTTTACAGAACATTAAAGGCCTTATCACCGATTACAAGCATATTTTGTGGTCATTATCGCAGCTCTGCAACGATCACACAGCCGTGACCGGCGGATGTCCCGGTGTCTTATGACTTCTCTTTGATCCTCTGTCTGACTCAGCACTCTCTCTTTTTCAATGGAAATGAAATACAGTATAAGTCTGATGACCATGACCTAGATCACAGTCTGGTACAGACTGACCTGAGGGTCTTTTTTCCCCAGAAAACACTTTTGTCTGGAACAACACACCTTAACTCTCACATCAGTCAGTGGTTCCATAACAACCTTTAAATCTATGGAAACTTTTAATTCCATGTTTTTTTTTTTTTTTTGGATTAATAAAACTTTCTTCATACATTTTTAAAAACTCTTTAAGGTTCTTTAGGGAGCCAAACATGGCATTGCTGCAAAATATCCTGCTTTGGAACTGTTTAGTAGGAGTGGAATGCATTGATGCCAATATGTAGCACTTTTATTTTAAAGACTGAACCTTAATTAATTATTTAGTTAGTTGAATTTTTTTTTTCACTAACAATACATTTTTTAGGAACTGCACTTTACTTGCATCACTGGTTCCATGAAGAGCCTTTAACATCTGTTGAATCTTTTCAATTCATCTTCATGTGTCAAAGCAGCTTAGAAGTTCCAGTAAATTGAAACTGTGAATTGAAGTTCAGTTCAGTGTGGTTTAATTTTCACTGCTGAAAGTCCAAACACTGAAGAGCAAATCCCTCCACCTTTTCATTCCACAAAAGGTTATTATGGGTAAAAACATTCTTCAGATTATTAAAAACTCTCTTCTTCTGAGAAAACTCTTTACTGAAAGGTTCTTTGTGGAACCCAACAATCGTTCTTCACTCTTAAAAAGAAGGGTTCCAAAAGATTTCTTTAGCACATGCTGTTAGCAGAACCATTAAATAACCTTTATTTCCAAGAGAAAAGTGGACCATTTGTGATGTCAGAATGACATTAAATTAATATATATATATTTTTAAATGCTAATCAATTTGATGTCAAAACCTTTGTCTATTTGACATCAACTCATTGATGCCTTTTTACCACCAAAATAACAACGCAAGAAGTGTTATAATATAAGATATGTTTCATTCAACTCAAAGCTGGAATTACGAATTACACTTGATTTTGTATCTCTAAAGGCATGTAAACTACTTTGATGTCA